GGTGTGAACAGGTGAGGGAGGGTTTTTCTATAGCTGCTATAGGACTCTTTTGTCCCAAGCTCCACTTTCTCCGCCAAGCTCGAGATAAGATGGCATAAAATTAAGATTTCACGTCAAAAATAAAAAATGCAAGATCTTGTCAACATTCTTGCTTCTTCTACTTTGAATCCGTACAAACAAAACATTCAATAAAGAAAGAGACGTCGACAGATTGAATTAAAGGATCAGGCTTGGGCATGGCGGCACTGAGCAGCATGAGCCAGAGAAAAGAGCTTGACTTAGAACAAGAAGAAGAAGATGCCACTCATGGCCGCCTTGCTAATCGGGTGCGAGCGGAGATTGGGCGCCAGCTCTGGCTCGCGCTGCCGATGATGGGCGTCAATCTCCTCCAGTATTCCATCCAGCTCGTCTCGGTGATGTTCGTGGGTCACCTGGGAGAGCTCGATCTGTCCGGCGCCTCCATCGCCAGCTCCTTTTGCAATGTCACGGGCTTCAGCATCCTGGTAAACAAACCCATTTCTCTTCTCCTAGGTATAAATGACTCAATGATTGATCTTCCAATAGTTAGTCCCCCATTTTCTTATCTCCTCATCATGCAAAGCTTTCAGTGCTGGATTTTATCTCTAGAACTTTGCTTGAGTCTTCTCTGGATATGATGGGTGATTGCTTGCACGGATTCTAATCCATCTTGGATTTTCCTATTGAAATAGCTGGGACTGGCGAGCGCTCTGGAAACTCTTTGCGGCCAAGCCTATGGAGCCAAGCAATACCACACGCTGGGAATTCTCCTCCAAAGAGCAATTTGTATCCTTATCATGATCTCGATACCATTAGCTCTCTTGTTCTACAACATGGAGCCAGTCCTCCTCTTCTTCGGCCAGGCTCCAGATATTTCTCTCAAGGCCGGGATCTACGCGCGCTACTTGATCCCAGGGCTGCTATCTTACGCTTTGATCCAGCCACTCATGAGATTTCTCCAGACCCAGAGTTGCGTGGTTCCAATGCTGTTTTGCTCTGTCGTGAGCTTGCTAGTTCACATACTACTCTGCTGGATCATGATCCATAAGCTGGGAATTGGAGCTCATGGAGCCGCGATCTCGCTCAGCATTTGCTTCTGGCTAAACGCTGGATTTTTTATGCTCTTGGTGGCTTTTATCCCTCGCTGCAAGAAATGCTGGCCCGGATTTTCCACCGAAGCGTTTCGAGACTTCAAACTTTTCCTGAGGTTGGCGGTCCCTTCCGCGATCATGGTCTGGTAAATTATGGTTTTCTCTTTCGTTTTTTGTGCTATTTCTTACTATCTTTTTTTTTTTTTGGCAGTGTGGAATGGTGGGCTTTTGAGCTACTGCTTCTCCTCTCAGGACTTTTGCCAAATCCCCAGCTCCAAACCTCGGTTTATTCGATCATGTAAATGAGATTGTAGATTGATTTTTGATTTTACTGATCACGGTAAAACCGTCCTTGCAGCTTGAACACTGTAAGCTTCACGTTTATGATACCTTATGGCATTGGTATAGCGGCCAGGTAAAATTTCATCCATTTTCTTACTGAAAAATCAAGTTTTGGTCTTTCATAGTACGCGAATTTCCAATGAGCTTGGAGCTGGCCAAGTTTCCAATGCGCGGTTTGCCTTCTTTGTCACACTTGGTCTCGCCCTCCTTGATGCTACGACAATGGCGATTCTCTTGTTCTTGGCTCGCCACTTTCTGGGAAGAGTTTATAGTAACGAACCAGAAGTTATCAACAATGTGGCGAAGCTTGGACCGATCATAGCCCTCATTTCCTTCATGGATGATATCCAAGGATCCATCTCGGGTAAGCTCATAATCGCTCCAAGAACTTCGGAGATGACTTTCATGGGATTTTATGATCGATCGTGAGAACTTTAGGTGTTGCGAGGGGTTGTGGATGGCAAGCAACTGCTGCTGCTGCAAATCTGGGAGCTTACTACATTGTTGGTGTACCAATCGCTTACAGTCTCGCGTTCCATTTCGGCCTCAATGGAAAGGTGTGAATAATCGTGTTTTGTTACTCCTGATCGTCGAAGTTTTGTGTTCCTCCCAAATCGAACAGGGACTAGTGATTGGAATACTTTGTGGAACGGGCACACAAGCGATAACCTTCCTTTTGATCTCTAGTGTCTTCACAAACTGGGAAAAACAAGTAAGAAATCTAAATCTCTCTTGGAAGTTTTGGTTCGACATCGATTTTAAAACTTCCTCTTCCAGGCCGAGAACGCGACCAAGAGAGTCGAGACCTCGGCAACTTTACCATTACTATCTTAGATCATGCCGTACTTGAGTACGGTAAAATGTGACACGTCACAAGAATAAGATCTAAATCTGGAAGGAATTAGAGGAGCGAGTTTTACAGAAGAAGAAGATGGTCGCCTTCAATCGGGCTCGAGCGGAGATTGGGCGCCAGCTCTGGCTCGTGCTGCCGATGATGGGCGTCAATTCCATCGCCACTTCCTTTTGCACCATCTCGGGATTCAGTATCTTCTCTATAAATTCGTAGTGAGTTCTTCCTCTTGTTCTTTAGCCAAGTTTATCACTGTTCTTCAAAGTTTGCGAGCTTGCATTGGTCTTCTTCTCTGTTTGATTGTTTTGCAGCTGGAACTGGCTAGCGCTCTGGAAACTCTTTGCGGCCAAGCCTATGGAACCAAGCAATACCACACGCTGGGAATTCTTCTTGATCTCGCTACCATTTGCTCTTTTGTTCAACAATGTGGAACCCTCAAGGCCGGGACCTACGCCCGCTATTTGATCCCGGGATTGCTATCCTATGCTTTGATCCAGCCACTCATGAGATTTCTCCAGATCCATAGCTTCGTGGTTCCAATGCTGCTCTGCTGGATCATGATCCACAAGCTGGGAATTGGACTCAGCATTTCCTACTGGATAAACGCTGGATTGTTTGTGCTCTTGGTGGCTTTCATCCCTCGCTGCCAGCAATGTTGGCCCGGATTTTCCACCGAAATGTTTCGAGACATCGAAGTTTTCTTAAAGTTGGCAGTTGCTTCAGCGATCATGTCTGGTAAATTATGTCTTGTACCTTCTTTATCACATTTTTTTACTTTTTGATTTGTTTGTTTAGTGTGGAATGGTGGGCTTTGAGACGGTAGTTCTTTTCAGGACTTCTGCCAAATCCCCAACTCGAGGCATCGGTCTATTCGATCATGTAAGAATGAAGTTTAGTCGGAAGGTTAAACTCCTTTGATATATGAAGATATGAAGGAACCTTGATCTAAGAAGATATAACACTCTATGATTGACGTGGTATTGGAATATCAGCCAGTTTCTCCTTACATTCTTATTGATCAGAGTTTTCAAGTATTTTTTCATAGTACACGAATTTCCAACGAGCTTGGAGCTGGCCATGTTTCCAATGTTTGTGCAGTTTTCATTCGTTGTCACGCTTGGTCTCGTGCTCGTCAAGGCTACGATAATGGTGACGATCTTGTTTTTGGCTCGCAAAGAAGTCGCCAAAGCTTATAGTAGAAGTTGTACCACACCTCTGATGCCCTTCATGGATGATATCCAAGGATCCATTTCGGGTAAGTTCATATCAATCCTCCAAGAACTTTGGACTCCTGACGATGTTGATTCTTTCGTGATTCTTTCTATGATTTTTATGGATCGACCATGAGAACTTTAGGTGTTGCAAGAGCTTGCTACATTGTTGGTGTACCAATCGCTTACATATTTGCTGTCCATTTCGGCCTCAATGGAAAGGTATAATTTCTTTATCGTTTGAAAATCTTATAGGGTTTAGTGATTGGAATTCTCTGCGAGTGCTCTTTGTCATAGCTTCAACTTACCCTCGAGGGCAAAATCTTTCTCCAAAGTCATATTTCATGAACACTTCCACTTGGAACTGTCTCCACACTTCAGAAATGGAGCTTGAAGTTAAAGTCCTAATTGCCAACGGGAATGATGAACTTTGGCCAAAAGTGGTGGAGAGAGAAAGAGAGAGAGCTACATGGTACTCAAGCGGGGCACCATTCTACTTGCACTATAGTTGATTTCTCTTCTGAGAATGGAAATTATTTTTGAACACTTCTTTAGCACCCTTCTATCCAGTCCATGCTTACTCTCACTAAAATTACCAACTTTTGGTCCAAATCTCAACTCAGTTTTGGGTCTTTAGCCTCATTCTCCTTATTTCACAATGTCCTCTCCTATCCCCCCTATTAGGAGATTAATTGTTTTGGGATTTCACTATATAGTATCTAGACTCAGTTTCAGACTATGTCTTAAACTTCTTAAACCAAATATGACTTAGTATTGTTTGAATGAATAATAACTTAAATGGAAGTGAATGTAAACTTTAGAAAATCAAAAGAAGCTTGTTGGAATATACTCTAGGGTCACTTGTCTTTTAGATCTCTATATGCCCATGAAACACTGGATTTTTTGAGATGGCAATACAGCTTTTGTTGTCTGTAAAAAGTGGAGTGGCATCCTTTTGCTCCTACTATCTCCTTTGCTGCTGCTGAAGCTGCTACATACTCTGCTCCTGCACTGGAAAGAGCCACCATAGTTTGCTTTTTACTCAGCCAGTTCCCTGCTGCCCCAAAAAGTAAACAACATACTCCAGATGTTGATTGCCTAGTATCCACATTGCCTACCCAATCTACATCCGAGTATGCAATCTCTTTTGTAGACTAAACCAAACTGCTTAGTCCCTTTGAGATATCTTAGTACTCGTTTCGCTGCCTTCATGTGTTTCTTTGTTGGATAAGAGGTGTAGCGACTAAGTACTCCAACTGCAAAAGCAATGTCAGGCCATATGTAAGTGGAGATGTATAAAAGGCTGCTAACAAGTTTCTGGTATGGTCTGATATCTTGAAGTACCTCAAGCTCAGAATATTGAGAGAATTTTGTACCAAACACCATTGGCATTGGAGCCGACTTGCACTCTGTTATGCTGTATTCATGAAGTATCTTATGAACTTATGCACACAATGTGATTGCAATGTGGAAATAATCTGGACTCTGATGAACTTCCATACCAAGGATTTTCTGGACCTTCCCAAGAGCTGTCATCCTATATTGCTGCATCAAAATTTGTTTGACCTTTTTAAGGTACTCTTTTCCATTGCTAACAAGCAAACAGTCATTGACATACACTACCATGACCAAAACATCTATTCCTTCCTACTTCTAATAAAGGTTTCCATATGAGTTGAGCTTTTGGAAACCTTTCTTCTGCAATAAATTATTCAAGTATTTGTACCACTCCCTTGATGCTTGTTTTAGCCCATAGATGGATTTTCTTAGCTTCCAAACAAAGTCAAGACCTGCTTTAAAACCTTCTAGTTCATGCATGAAGATCTCCTTGTTCAAAGTGGCATTTAGAAAAGCTATTTTGATGTCCATATGATGATCATGTAAACCAAACTTAGTAACAAAAGCTTTTAGTGTCCTCAAACTTACTACCTTCACTACTGATGAGAAGGTCTCTTCATAATTAACACTTGAAATTTGTGAAAAACCTTGAGTTATAAATCTAGCCTTATACCTCTTGATGGTGGAGTCTGGGTTGTATTGGATCTTATCCACCCATTTCTTCCCAATGATCTTTCTTTTAGGTGGAGTTTTACACAACTTGAAAAATGCTGTTTTGATTGTGACTATCAAGTTCTTCCTTCATGGCCTAGGTCCATTTCTCTACATCTGGTCTTGAGATAGTTTCTTGGTATGTGCTTGGCATGTGAATGCTCAGGATTTCTGGTCTAGGAGGTTGTAATGTTCTTCTAGATTCATCCCTCCCTCTATTTTGTGTATCGAAATTCAACTCAACTATCAACCTTTTAGATTCTGGCCTCCTTCAATGGTATTGTGGAAGTTCTTTAACTTGAGCTGTTGCTAAAGGCTCTTGAACTTCTTGATTTTGCTCAAGATTTTCAGCTTGGGATCATTAAGGGTCATTTCTATGAAAGTTATCAAGAAGGAGCTTGTGGTTGTCCACTCTAGAAGTTGTTACAAGCTCTTCTAGGTCTGGTTCCCACATTAAGACTTTGCAAGATGATAATCCTTGTACAAAATGCCTTCATCAAATATGACATCTTGTGATACAATCATCTTACACTAGCTTGGGAGATAGATATGATAATCTTTCTTCTATCCATCATATCCAATGAGAAAACCAAGGACACTCCTATCATCAAGCTTCTTCAAATCATTATTAAGAACTTTAGCATAAGCAAGTGAGCAAAAAACTCTTATGCTTGCTATGCTTTGTTGACAATTTATCTAAACTTCCTCTAGAATGACATCCCTTTTTCTAGCTGAAGGGATTCTATTCTGGATGTGAACTATTGCTTGAATAGCTTCTTGCCAAAGAAAGTTGGGAAGATCAGTTGCTTTCATCATAGATTTCACTACATTCATGATTGTTCTATATTTTTATTTAGCTACTCCATTTTGTTGTGGTGTAGCTATATATGTGAACTCTTGCCAAATACCTCTTTCAAGATAAAAAACCTTGAATTCATTTGATGTGTATTCTCCTCTTGAGTTTGAGTGCAATATCTTCAATCTTCTATCCAACTACCTCTTAGATTTCTTAAGAAAGATATTGAAAGCTACAAAAGCATCACTTTTTTTATTCAGATAGAATACCATACACCTTCTAGTGAAGTTGTCAATCATAATCATGAAGTAGAACTTCCTCAAGAGCGACCAAACTTGTATAGGACCACAAAGATCTGAATACATAAAATCCAAAGGTTGCTTGGTACACTAGTATGAATGAGGAAAGGAACTCTATGCATGTTTACCAAGTTGACAACCATGACAAATGTTCTCTTCCAAGAGTGGATCATCCAATCCATCCACCAAATTCTGTGACTTGATGGATTTTAAAAGATGCACATTTGTATGTGCAAATCAAGCATGCCAAAAAGCTGTCTTATTCTCCATATTTGCAACCTTGGAAATGCTTGGAGCTATTGAGGAAACTAAAGGTCTTTTAGGAACAAAAGCTTATATAAATTTCAAACCCTTCTAGCAATCCATACTTCTCCTATAAATCCTTTAACAAAGCATTTAGTGTTGGTAAACCTTATATCCATCCCATGGTCAATGAAACTTGCAACAAAGGCCAAATTGTGCATAATGCCAGATATTAATAAAGTCTACTTCACTTTAAAGACTTCTTGCCCTTTAATTGGCACTACACAACTTCCACTACCCTTGATTACTTGAAGTCCTCTATTTCCCATTTGAACAGTTTGACCTCCTCAAACCAATTCCTATCCTTCATGACATGCCCCTTAGGTCCTGAATTCAACACTAGACTATCAAAAACTAAGTTTTTTTTTAGCAACTAAGCATACTATTGGATCATCCTTACTTTGGTCTCCCATGGATCTAAAGTCTTCCATAGTAGTTGCAAATGGAGGAAGTCTAGCAGTTGTATAGTGCCTGGCTGCTCCTCTTGCTTCTTCCTGCAAGCAAACCAAACTATTAGCCTTTACATGTCTAGTATTCAACTTCTAGCAATAGTAGCAATAGTTGTCATCTTCTTCCTCATTGTTCTCAAATTCTTTTGCTTGAGATTGTGATCTGCATCCTTGTCCTTGCAAGCACCCACAACCACATCCTCATCCTTGGGGCAATGCCTTCTTCTTCCATGATGCTGAGTCATGATTGCTCTAGCAAACTCCAAAAAACTAGCATTAATTTCTGTCTTGATCCTCAATATTATCAATCGTAGTGCTAGTGCTATGGACAGTGATAGCAAGAGCTTGATTCAGTTTCTCAAAAGCCTTACTAAGTGCCAAGATTTTTCTTGCTTCACTATAGCTACATTTGCTTTCTTCCAATTCCTAAAAAAGATGACAAAATCTTGGAAGAGAACTTACAAATCCTCCTTGGCAATGTAGCACTTTGATAGAATTTTTGTCACAATCATTGTGATCTTTGAGTAGTCTTTGTCCCTTAATGCATAAGGAAGTGCTCCCAAATTCTTCCAACAAATTTGACTCTTGTTGCATATGTTAGATGTTCTACTAACTTTGATTTGATGATGGCTTGAGCAACTTGCTCTTAATTGCTATTGCGAGTGGATTTAGTGGTTGAAAAATCAACACTTTGGGGAGATGCAATTATGTCCTACACCCCCATCAAGCTCAACACTTTAATTTAGTCCCTTTAGTACCAAAAATGCCTTGAGCTATCAAATGGCTAAAGGTTTGCAAGAATGGTTGAAGATTTATAAGAATGGTAACAGCCAATTGCTCCATCAACAATAATAGCAAGAAATAGAAACAAAGAAAGAAAAGAAAAGTGATAAGTCACAAGTGCTCCGATACCATAAAGAGAAAATAAGTTACCATTCACATATCAATCATGCTCTATATACAAGTTATTTCTGACTAATTGGTGCATGATTCTTAGAGATCTGAGTAGATCAACAACTATTACCTTCCACATAATTAATGTATTACCTAACCAGGGTAATACATATATTTACAAACCTTTATACAATC